GTCGTTATGCCATATGTTCATGTTGTTTCCTAGTGATCCGTGCCTCTTTTGAGGATGATCAGTAAGGATGTTTTGTTAACATTGTGGTGCTCTAGCTATCCATGTCTTTGTGTGCATTTATGGAGCACCCTAGCTTGAGTCAATCGAGCTCTACTTTTGCTATTTCGTGATTCCTGGCAGATTGTTGACTTGTTAGCGATTTTGCCGAGGATGTTGTTATTGATCCGTGCATGCTATGTTGTTGTTCTTGCCATGTCTAGCTTCTATGTTATGTATTCTTGATGGGTGTATGCTTAGTTTGTCATGCCATGCTCTGTAGTGAGTGCATCGAGCTCGTAAACATGCCTACTCGTTAACTGTTTTGCATGCTCCAGTTTTTCACTAAGTCTGAGATCTGTTTATGTTTTTGCCATGTTCACATGCTTGCAATTGTATTTTCTGATCCCTTTTGGCTCAAGGTCACTAAGGGACTTTTGTTAAGTGCCTTGAGTAGCTTCATGCCATGCCTTGCTTTGCCATGTTAAGTTCCTGTAGCATGCAGTGTTCATGCTCTAAAGTGTGCTACCTGATGTTAAATTCCAGACTTGTGTTAATTTCACTAAGTCTGAAACCTGTTTATCATTTGCATTTTTGCCATGCTTGTTTGAACCTGTTAATGGATGAATTGGTCGTAGATCAGTGTTTATCTTTTGTTAAGCATCATGAGTGGATTCCTGCCATGTATTTTGTTGTCATGTTTGAGTGCTGTAGCATATTTATCTTGATGCATTTAGATGGCTACTTGCTGATTATTGCAGACCGGTGCCATATTTGTTTTGCTTGTCATTTCCAAACCGTGCATCCGATTCCGGTGATCTTTATATCGATTTCAACCGAAATCACCTCACCTTTCTAGTGGCACTCTTGGATTTCCAAGTTGAGGCCAGGTTTAATCATTCCTTGTCAAATCTTGCATATGCATCACTTCTCGCATCCCGCATAGCATACCATGTTCGCATCATGTTGTTTGAGCATTGCACGTGGTTGATTGTGTTCCTTTTGCTTATTTGTCTTGTTTGGGTAGAGTCGGGAGACGAGTTTGCTTACGAGGAGCCCGTTGAGTTTGCTTACGAGGATCAAGTCAACTCTGACAACTTTGCAGGCAAGATGATCATACCCTCGAAATCACTTCTATCTTTGCTTGCTAGATGCTCGCTCTGTTGCTATGCTTATGCTACGATTCCTACCACTTGCTTATTATGCCTCCCAAATTGTCATGTCAAACCTCTAACCCACCATGTCCTAGCAAATCGTTGATTGGCTATGTTACCGCTTTGCTCAGCCCCTTTTATAGCGTTGCTAGTTGCAGGTGAAGATTGGAGATTGTTCCTTGTTGGAACATTGTTTATTGTTGGGATATCACTATATTATCTTGTTATCTTAATGCACCTATATACTTGGTAAAGGGTGGAAGGCTCGGCCTTTTGCCTAGTGTTTTGTTCCACTCTTGCCGCCCTAGTTTCCGTCATATCGGTGTTATGTTTCCAGATTTTGCGTTCCTTACGCGGTTGGGTTATAATGGGAACCCCTTGACAGTTCGCCTTGAATAAAACTCCTTCACCAACCTTGGTTTTACCATTTGCCACCTAGCCTCTTTTTCTTTTGGGTTTCCGGAGCCCAAGGGTCATATTTATTTAAACCCCCCCGCCCCTCCGGGCCAGTGCTCCTCTGAGTGTTGGTCCACCTCGTCGGCCGCCGGTGGCCACCAGGGGCAACTCTGGGCTGGCCTACCGGAAGTTTGGACAATCTGAGTGTGCCCTGAGAACGAGATATGTGCAGCTCCTATCGGGATTTGTCGGCACATTCGGGCGGTGTTGCTGGACTTATTTTACCATTGTCGAGGATGTCTTGTAAAACCGGGATGCCGAGTCTGATCGGAATGTCTCGGGAGAAGGAATATCCTTTGTTGACCGTGAGAGCTTGTGATGGGCTAAGTTGGGACTCCCCTGCAGGGATTTCAACTTTCGAAAGCCGTGCCCGTGGTTATGGGCAGATGGGAATTTGTTAATATCCGGTTGTAGATAACATGAAACTTAATTTAATTAAAATGAATCAACCGCGTGTGTAACCGTAATTGTCTCTTCTCGGCGGAGTCCGGAAAGTGAACACGGTGTTGGAGTAATGCTTGACGTAGGTTGTTCTAGGATCACTTCTTGATCATAGTTCTTCGTTCGTGCTTTGCCTTCTCTTCTCGCTCTCTTTTGCGAACAGGATAGCCACCATATATGCTAGTCGCTTGCTGCAGCTCCACATATTACATTGCCTTCCCTATAAGCTTAAATAGTCTTGATCGCGAGGATGCGAGATTGTTGAGTCCCCGTGACTCACAGTTTACTTCCAGACCAGATGCAGGGACCGATGATACCGTTCCAAATGATGCGCTTGAGCTCAAGTGGGAGCTCGACGAAGACTCTCGCCGTTACTATATGTCTTTCCCAGATAATCAGTAGTGGTGCCCAGTTAGGGCGATCGGGGACCATGTCGCATGTTGGGGTTGATCTTTTATTTTGGTACCGTAGTCGGACCATGAGTGTATTGGATGATTATAATGTTATTCATGTATTTGGGTGACGTGACGAGTGTAAGCCAACTATGTATCTTTTCCCTTTTTATATATTTACATGGGTTGTTGTGAAGATTACCTTACTTGCGACATTGCTTTCAATGCGGTTATGCCTTTAAATCGTGCTTTGACACGTAGGAGTTATAGCCGCATCGAGGGCGTTACAGCTCTCTTGTCCCGTTGACCGTGCCACGGTGGTCTACTGCGACAACGTCTCGGCGGTCTACCTCTCCGCTAACCCGGTGCATCATCGACGGACCAAGCATATTGAGTTGGATATTCATTTTGTTCGGGAACAGGTGACCCTTGGCCATATTCGTGTTTTACACGTCTCTACTTCCCAACAATTTGCCGATATCATGACCAAGGGCTTGCCTACGGCGTCATTTGAGGAGTTCCGATGCAGTCTTTGCGTCAGCCGCGGTGCCGCTTCGACTGCGAGGGGTGTTAAGTATGTTATTTGTGCATGTATATTGACTAGGTCCACCTCTCTAATTTATTGTATAAATTGAAGTAGAGGCTCCATCTTATACATCATATATACGAGAGCAAAACATCGTGCAATCATAATTTCATACAGTCTCGGCGAGGGCAAAAAAGAGGGCTCGCGCTGTTGGTGCATGCGGGGCCGTTCCCTTACGTCAGTGCCGACACCGTCTACTCGTGCATGGGTTACGGCAGCAAGTATGAGCCGTCAAGAATCGATCAGGGCTACCGTCTCCGATACGGGTATGGCCGTATTCAAGGCGGCAGGATTGATGATGCCGGGCAACGCAGTGTAATTAAAGACTATGTGTCTCGCTACGTCTGCGGCCGAAAGATCGTCAGGGTAAAGCGGCGACGTCGCCGTCAACGCCCGGCACTGCGCCTGCGTCGCGGTGGCCGTCGCCGGCTATGAACATCAGTATAATATGGGTGAATTCCCTATGACGCTTCTTAGTTATAGTCTTATACTAGAATTGCTACTCTACAGTTGATGCTCAGTTGCTTACGATGCTGCTTAACTATACCGGAATTGCTACTCTATGGTCGATGCTCAGTTGATTAATGCTGCTTACTATACCGGAATTGCTAGTTCATTGTCGATTGCAAACATTGACTTTGCCGGAACATTGAACATTTTTTTCAAAATCGATAGATTTCACTCAGGGCGACGCTACGTGTCAGTCGCCGGATCTTCCGCATCCGCATCCGTTTGATCGAGGGCCATCCGCATCTTTACCCTTTGCAATAGACCTCATGTTGCAGAAATATTTGCAATAGAGGTTTTGTTGCAGAGTTTTTTTTTCTAAACTCTTTTGAAACATAAGTGTCGGAAGTGCTTTTGAGACATAGATGATGTTGCAGATTTTTTTTATCTTTAACTTTTTGCCAACACATAGGTGTTATTACACAGATGATGTTGCAGAACTTTTTTATCTGTTATCGTGAAATTGGTATCTGACGGCTATACATGCGGCGAAAGCGTACGCGTGATCGGCCAGTTGACCCTAATCTTTTCCCTTTCACTTACTCCCTCTTTTTTTTAGTTTGCATATAGATTTGTCAAAGTCAAACTTTGTAAAGCATCATGCATCTAGAAAAAAATATAGAAAAAAATATGGAAAATTAATTTCATCATGCATGTAAGATAGTGTGTATATAGAAAAAACTATCAACATCTACAATACAAAACTTATATGTTATGAAAATTAATTTCATCATGCATCTAATAATATGATTTCATAGTGTGAATGTTGATATATTTTCCTACAAAGCTAGTCAAACTTTACAAAGTTTGACTTTGATCAAATCTTATATGCAAACTAAAAAGAAATGGAGGGAGGGAGTACCATCCATGTGTTGCCAAGCCATGTTTGATCTATATATGGCCGTCATACGTTGAGCTAAGCAAGTTTGGTCAAGCTAAGCTCACGCTAGGTTCACAGCCATGAAGCCATATCGCAAGCTCAAGTGAGGCCATTATCCCAGCTCTGCAGATTGACACCTAATAATCAACAGAACATCAGTATCCATCTACATATGATGTGCAGTCACCATACTGATATATGTCCATTAACCCTACACACTGCCAGCATTGCAATGCTTTTATTAACTGCCGATCGCGCTGAGGTCCAAATCTGGTACCTTACAGCACCGTCGGGCACCAAATAAACACATCTCAACATTGGGAGACCAACTCATCCGTTGAGACTTGGAACCTCGAAGAGGAACAACTCGTATTAAAACAAAGCAGTGCAAGCCCAAATTAAGTAAAACCTCCAGGTTGACATACAACCAGGAGCGGCCCATGGAACACAGCAGCAAGTTTCTCTTTGAGATGCCACTTGCTGCTGCATAGGTTCGTTCTACATAGAGTACACACAGGTCTACCTATCCTCTCCTCTGCATATTCTCATCAGCCATCTTGGACCCAGAGTCTCACAGTCTTGTCATTATCAAGGCTGCCAGAAGCAATTTTGTTCTCTGTTGGATGACATGACACCGAGATGACAGCGTCGGTATGGCCTTCCATTTTCTGAAGAATGTTTTTCCCTTGGAGGTCCCATATGTATACGCATTTATCTTCCGACCCACTAACAATGTACTTCCCGTTCCTGACAGAAAACGCAGACTGGATGCAGTATACTCTGTTCACATGCCCACTATATACCTTCAAGAACTTGCCAGTAGCATAGTTGCATAGTTTCTGCAAAGAAGGTGGGAGGCACTTAGTAAGCACATTTCTAGTAAACATGGAGTTTCGAAAAGATAGGCCCAACAACGTTTAAACAATGGTGATTGCTAGCATATTGTTTCCATTTAAAGAAAAGAAAAAATGCAAATAATAGTTTTGAGAAGCAATTTGCAACAATGTTTAGTTGCAAGTCATGGCGCATCCTGAGATTTAAAAAACAGTCATAGAAAACTGGCAATCTTTATGGTAAAATGTAATAGCCAGAGGCATGAGAGGCACCCTTGAGAAATGTAGCAATCACCCATTTGATGCTCGACTGTGTGGTGGCATACGAGGTGTGGACTTTGATGCTCAATAGCCGGAGACCCAAGTGGATCCCAGAACACAAGGCTGACATCATTGGATTGCGGAACCTATGCACGACCATTATCCTCACCTTATGTCCCTCAAAAGAAAATTATCCTCACCTTCCGGATGATTTGGCTCCATCGAAACGATGTGGTGTTCAATGGCCGCCAATCTTCCATGAGGGCCCGGGTGCACTCAACTCGCTTGGAAGGAGCTCAATGGAGCAAAGCTGGATTGCTCTGTGGGGATGCTTATGGCTGCCAGATTGAGGCACCGGCAGGGGTAGAAGATGATGTAGTTGTTCAGGATTGTAGCTAACCTAGGGTTAGCAATGCTGCCAAACCTTTATCGGTGTTGTATTGTCCTCTTAACCCACCTCTTCTATGTTATTGATACACCTTCCAGGATGTATCTATACAAAAATTTAACATTCTCAAACATCAGGTGTGCCAGTTGAACTGTAGGGCTTACAGCATTGATAAGAAATTGTATGTAATGATGTGTAACACTTTGAATTTGGAAGAAGGTTCAGTTCAAAAAAAATTGGAAGAAGGTGGAGACCAATGGTAACAGTAAGTCTGCGAAGAAGTGGACAAGAAGTTATAAAGAAGAGACAACAAAGCTTGGAAATAAAGTCGTGCAGATTGGGTGGAGTTCACACCAAGTCATGTTGTAGGAGACGGGGAAAAGATTCTTACAGCATGAACATATGACATGCCTATTGCAATTTGCAACAGCCAAATCATCCTTGTGGCATGACAAAGATGAATGAGAAGTTGCTGACAGTGTGCAGGCTCATCACAATATGGAGATTGCAAACATAACAAGAACATGGGGATTGGCATGAAGTTAGTAGATAAGTATAAATAAACTCATGTAACTTGAAACATATAGAGCCCCAGCTCCTCAATTCTATTCAGACATGTAAGTTGAAAACATGGGCTTACCACAATGCCCCAAAAGAATGGAAACTTGATATTTTGGTAAACCATAATTCTGTTGGTGCAAAAGTAGCAACTATGTGAGAACCAAACGTGCTAAAATCACCTTCAGTGACAGTTAAATGGACGAGCACCACTTGGCCGAAGAGCCTAAATGTGCAATGAGCGCTGTTATTTTGAACTTCAGAGATCAAAGTTTGAATTGAGATGGAGTTTTATAATTTCATCCACTGCCAAGTGTGACACTATATTTTTCATTTGAATTCCATATCAGGTGAGCGGTTCTGATAATTGTGCATATAATTTTGAAGGGAATATGACTTCAAACCCACAGTCTCAAATACAATATCCTTGTCAACATGTGGGTGGACCTATTCGAGAAAAAAAAAACATGTGGGTGGACCCTTGAACTGAATTTTAAGAACTGAGCAGGGCTTTCATTCACTGTCAAGTCGAGGTAAGTTGCAACCGAAAATTGGACTAGAACCTAGCTAAAGCCTGCAATCACTGTACCAAGATCAAAATATATCGAAGTGACCTTGACATCAAAGAACAATGAATATTGTCTGAACTAGTGCTGCGCGATGAGCTGAAATTGTGTGATTTGTACACCATCCAACAAACTGAAAGTGGTTTGTGCTCAACACTAACCTAAGGCCTAAGAGGCTTACACATGATCCTCAACAGCGTGATGGTTAGAGCTGAGACACTTATTTTGGGACGGAGGGGGTATGAAATAGCAGTCAATTGGTCATACCAGTGAGTCATCGAGCGTAGCGACGAGGATGAACTTGCCATTTGGTGAGAACATTGAGCAGGAAACCGCTGGCTTCTTGTCGTCAATGACTGTCTTGAGACAAGAGCCAGTTCCCGCATCCCAAATCTTGCAGCTCCCATCATGGCTCCCCGACACAATGATCGACCCGTCCCGGATGAAGTGGACGGAGGTGACGGGCTCAGAGTGCGCGTCGATGGCGCGGATGCAGCGGCCGCTGCTGACGTCCCAGATGCGCACGGTGCAGTCGAATCCCCCCGAGGCGACCTGGGAGCTGGTCTGCGGATTGAAGTTGGCACTGAAGACGAAGTTGGTGTGGCCCTTGAGCACGCGGATGCAGCGATCGGCGTTGGGGTCGGCGGGCTTGGGGCCGGGGAGGATGGAGCGGATGTCCCAGATGCGGAGGGTGCGGTCGTCGGACGCGGAGCAGAGGTAATTCGAGTCCGTGCTCCAGGACAGGTCGGAGACGCCCTGCGTGTGGCCGCGCAGGTTGGCGATGACGGCGAGCGAGGACGGGGAGAGGAGGGCGACCGTGCCGTCGAGGGAGGCCGTCGCTAGGAGGCGCCCGCAGGGGGAGAAGCGCACGCAGGAGATGGCGCGGGCGTGCGGGGTCGCCGCGCGCACCTGCCGGTATGGCCGGTACGGCGGCGCCGCCGGTGGCGGCTGCTGCTGCGTCGCCGAAGACATGGTCGGGGGGATTGGGAAAGGGGGAAAATGGCGAAGACCCGATGCTCTGTCCCAAGTGGAGTGGCAAGTGACCGTTTGTCCCTCAGCTATCGAGAAAAAATATATTTGAGTGATATGTTGGGCAAAATTTTACATTCGAAAATCGGCTGGTAGTTTGGTCCTGGATTGCTATACTTCTATATTTGCAGCTTTAAGTCTAAAATAAATGCTGGTATCACTCAACACTTGACCCAAAACAAAAGTGGTTTCGAGCTAGTGTGACGTCGTTCAAGTAGTAACCACACACACCTCGTAGTCTCTCAACTGAAGGAAAATTGTCGAAAAACATGAAATAAATCCAGAAAAAATGTGAACACTTGTGCTAAGCCTATCACTCGCTAGATGGATTGGTTCCGTCACAAAGAACTTAACTACTCCCTCCGTCTTAAGTGTATAGAGCATGCGCGTAGTTCTAGGTTGACAATTTAACTAGATAAATATGTGTTATATGTGATGAAAAATATATGTTTAGAAACTACATCCTCTTGAGAATCCAATGATATACTTTTGGTGAAATATAACACATATTTGGCTAGTCAAATTGATAACCTAAAACTACGTGCACACCCTATACACTGAGGCGAAGGAAAGTATTGAAGATAAACTCGGCTCTCTCTATTGTTGGGATCATATAGAAAAAACCTAACACAAATAGATTAGCCAAGTTAGAGGCTTCTTGAGCTGCTAATGTCTGCTAATGGGGATACTTCAGGGCTCTTTGAATTGTAGTGTTATCGTAGGAACATAAAATGATTTAAATCTTATAAGTGGTTTCCTTCTTATGAAAGCCCTTTGGATGAAACTCCTAAATTTTCATGGGATCCATTCCCATGCCAACATTTTATACTAAGCTCAGACCTTATTTTATTTTTCTTTGAGAAGTCCACTGCAGTTTAGTTTATCACCCATACTATATCCCCCGCAATTTTCTAAAATTCATGTGTGTTCAAAATAAAGCTCAAACCTATGTCATTTGTGCGCTTAAAATAAAGCTTCCAATGATCCCATCCCTTTGATCGTGTGTACAGGAGAACATGCCTCTTGAACCTCGCCTTTTGTGATTCTGCAACAGAAGAAAGTCGATTATGTTTTTTGGGAGCGTCTCAGCAGTTGCTCGTTTGAAAGAACATGCGGTGCCTTCATGTTTGGTTTTGGTAATTGATGACAATCTCTATGGACTAATGGTTGCCTTGAGTTATATTTAAAGGTTTTGTCCATAGGCTTTTCTTGGAGTACATGTGTTGGTTTCAAGGAGAGTTTGTGTCGACCAAGGTGTTATTCAAGGAATTATCCAAAGATTGGTCATGTGAGAGTTGAGCTTATTGCAAGCATGTCTTGAAGAAGAAGATTGTGTGATCATTCATGTCTACCTTCAAGATATCGTTCAAATGAAGAGAATTGAAAAGGTTCAAGGATGATCAAGACTAAGTCAAGAGTGAATCAAGTTGATCAACTCACAAAGCGTAGAAGATGTACCGAGAGGGATCAAGTGATCCCATTGTATGGTAAGAATTGTCAATTACGCTTTGTGTACTAACCCATGGTCTTCGTGAGAGTTCTTTGTGGGGTTAGGTTGCGGTGTGCAAGTTCAAGTGGAGCATCACGAAGAGATCAAATGCTTGAAGCTTGCCGTCCTTTGTGGTGATAATGGACTTGTGAAGATGTGCGGAAGAGTGGCTCACCCATAGTGGAGTATGGGGGAGCAATCAACTAGTCTTCATCGAGTCAACACAATCAAGAAAGGTGGTCCAACTTGAGGGAGTCAAGATTGTCATCATCTAGCTCAAGTGGACCATGTGCAAGGCAAAGGTTTGCCTTGATAGGTTTTCTATTTTACCGGTCTCATGATGGTAGTTGGGAGACCGGGTTATAGGATCGATTGTCGTACTATCAAGGGGGGCTCTCGATGAGTAGCTTGATCGTATCGTTCGTAGAGAGCTCAAACCATTGCATCCTTGCATCATATTTCTTGGTTCTTGATGGTTCTCTTTGTGAGTCTTAGAGCTTATGGTCATCTTGATGACAAGCTCGAGTTCATCGAAAACGGAGTTCACTTGCATTTTCTATGATGTTTTTGATGTTGGAGGTTTTGCCGGTTCTTCTCGGTTGGAGGTTTTACTCCTCTATTTGTTGGCATACCTTCCCTGCCTCTTCTTACTATATCGAGTCGCTGTTTTGATGCTACTCGTCGTCTTGTTTCCAATAAGCTTGAGTTTGCTCAATTCGGAGCTCATATGCAGAAGTTATGGCAGTTCTGGTTTTCTTGAGAGTGGTTTTTGTCTGGTCCCAGCGGTAGTACCGCGTGCCCCAGCGGTAGTACCGCTTGGAGCTCTCAGTCATTGTACCGCTGCTTCCGGGCGGTGGTACCGCCAACTTGCTCAGCAAAGACTTGGGCGGTTGTTCCGGCCAGGCACCGCCCAAGTACCGGTCAGGCCTCTGTTTTGATGCGGTACTCGGGCGGTGGTGGCCCGGTTGGTCCGGTCGTACCGGTACCACCGGTGTCCGGAGCGGTTCGACCGCTCAGGACTTAGCCGCCCGAGCGATCAAGGCCATGCGGTTGCATCGGCCCGGTACCGCTCGACTACCGCACTCAGGGGTGACTCCCTTCTGTTCCTATGCGGTGGTTGAGCGGTGGCTGGACGGTTGGTCCGGTTGTTCTTCTCAACCGGTGCTACCGCCTGGTCGCCCGGTTGTACCGCTTGGTAGGGTTCTGCACGTATACTGTGAGTCCCGGTTGTACCGGGACCAGGAGCGGTAGTACCGCTCGTGTGCGGGCTGAGCACATAACGGTTGGATTTTCCCCCTCCTATAAAAGGGGGTCTTCTTCCCCATTGAACCTAACCTTTTGAGCTCGTGTTCTTCCCTCATTGTTGACCTTTTTTGAGCTTGCTAACTCTCAATCCCTCCATGGATTCTTGCTAGTTTTTGAGGGAAAAGAGAGAGGAGATCTAGATCCACATTTCCACCAATCACTTTCTCCTCTATGTGAGGGGAACCCCTTGGATCTAGATCTTGGAGTTCTTGGTGTTCTCCTTCTTGTTCTTCCTCTCATTTTCCTCCCTAGCATTAGTTGCTCCGGTGGGATTTGAGAGAGAAGGACTTGGGCACTCCGTGTGCCCTTGCCATTGCATTTGGTGCATCGGTTTGAGTTCTCCACGGTGATACGTGGAAGTGAAGTTTGAGAAGCTTATTACTCTTGGGTGTTTGGGCACCCTAGAGCTTGTTCCTCTTGGGTGCCTTGGCGCCCTAGACAGTTGGTGTTGTTCGGAGCTCAATCATTGTGGTGTAAAGCTCTGGGCAAGCGTCGGGGTCTCCAATTAGGTTGTGGAGATCGCCCCGAGCAATTTGACGGGTATCGGTGACCGCCCCCAAGGGTTGCCAAAGTGTACGTGTTCGGTGACCGCCCCCAAGGGTTGCCATTTGTACGGGTTCGGTGACCACCCTCAAGGGTCCCTTAGTGGAATCACGACATCTTGCATTGTGCGAGGGCGTGAGGAGATTACGGTGGCCCTAGTGGCTTCTTGGAGAGCATTGTGCCTTCACACCGCTCCAAACGGAGATTAGCATCCGCAAGGATGTGAACTTTGGGATACATCATCGTCTCCGCGTGCCTCGGTTATCTCTTACCCGAGCTCTTTACTTATGCACTTTACTTTGTGATAGCCATATTGTTTCTTGTCATATATCTTGCTATCACATAGTTGCTTATCTTGCTTAGCATAAGTTGTTGGTGCACATATGTGAGCCTAGTTGTTTTAGGTTTTGTGCTTGACAAATTAACCGCTAGGTTTATTCCGCATTTGTTCAAGCCTAAATCATATTTTTTTTAAACGCCTACTCACCCCCCCCTAGGCGACATCCACGATCTTTCATCGTTGTTGTTCATCTTTGTCCTCAACATCGCAGACATTGTCATGGGTGACATGACTGACACAAAAAAAAAGGCTGATGAAAATTCTAGTGTCATCATCGTAACTTTGTTGCTTTTTCAATTTGTTTCCCTATGAATCAAAATATGTACAATGTGTTGTAAAAACAAATTTTACACACTGTTACCAAAATCTGATTCCAATGCAGCTAGCTTATTGGGACCCCCAAAATATTTGTCTCTAATAGTTCATTTCCAATGCACCAGAACTACGTTTCCATCCCGGCAAAAAAAACTATGTTTTTGTCGAATAGAAATTATGCTTCCATGTCGACTAAAAAAGTAGTGTGCTTCATTGGTCCATATAACATGTTTCCAACAACCTAAATATTGGCTTCATTCTTTCCGTCAACATCATAGTGCTTTCTATTCTCATGTCATATGGTTTCTCTATAATAAATTTCCGCTTCGCTTTGTTATTCATGTGTTTCCTTACATGCTTTATACATTAATCAACCTGGAAGCACTAGCCATTGCCCACCGAGTGTGTGATGTGAACTAGCGTGTTGAAGTCGCTAATGAGATTAGATCAGGTGATTGAATTCAGGTCATGCATCTACTGAAACATGAAAGCGGGTTGTCTGGAGGAGAGAGAAAATCCTAATTGTAGCATGTGTCCATTGAAGCATGAAAACAAGTTGTACGAAACATGAAAAAGGTAATTAAAGCACATTACTTCAGGATAAATTGCTTCCTTGTCGGGGGAGATTGCCTACAACTCACACCTGCATTGGTATAGTCAAAAATAAAGGCATCATCGAGATAGACCTCATTAATGGAAATATTTATTGTCGAGAAAATAGCATTACAACTCAGGCTTGCATTGGTATAGTCAAAATTAAAGGCATTATCAAGTTTGTTCCTTACTAGGAAATGTGCCCGTGCGTTGCAACGGGAGAAATCCTTGCACACTCCTAGCGACGCACCTGCGTTGTGCTCATATTGTCCATCTATTCACGACGAACGTGATCAATCCCACGGCGATGTGCTTTTCATCATAAGCGCAACGCAGGTGCGTTACTACAGAGTAAAC